TACTACTACTACTACTACTACTACTACTACTACTACTACTACTACTAGGACTACTACCACTACTACTACTACTACCACCACCAACAACAACAACCACCAACCACCTACCACCTACCACCTGCTACTTTCTTGATAAAATCCCAAAACACGTCTAGGGCTCAGGGCCTTTAAATTGCTATATTTTAAAACATGAAATACAATCATTTGACAAGCTCATAAAGGGCACTCCTCACAAGGGCCGGTCCCCCATCAATAATCTGCACTACTACCCCCTATTAATTTGATCCTGTGTCCCCGGCGTTTTGTTTGTTCTTGTTTCAACTTATTGTGACTACTACCACCACTACCACTACTGCTGCTGCTGCTGCTGCTCCTACTGCTACTATTACTACTACTACTACTACCACCACTACCACTACCACTACCACTACCACTACCACTACCACTACCACTACCACTTCGACTACTACTACTACTACTACCACTACTAGTACCACTACTACCACTAAAAGTACTACTTCCACTACTACCTACTACCTACTACCTACTACTACTACTACCACTACCACTACCACTACCACTACCACTACTACTACTACTACTACGACCTCAAAACTCCTGAGGAGACCATGAAGAATCGGAGTCTTTCGTTCCAACGCTGGCGATGTGCCCTGAAGCACCGATGCACTCTCACCCACACTCACTCTCACTCGCACTCTCACTCACACTCACTCACACCCACCTTCTCTCACACTCACTCTCACTCTCACACTCACTCTCACCCACGCTCACTCTCACTCACACTCACTCGCACTCTCACTCACTCACTCACACTCACTCACCCTCCCACTCTTACTCACTCACTCCCACTCTCACTCTCACACTCATGCTCACACTCACCCTCACGCTCACACTCACACTCACTCACTCACTGACTCATTCACTCACTCTGTCACTCACCACCACCGCCACCGTCACCACGATCCCCTTCGTCACCACCATCACCTCTCTGGACCCCAATGCGTCTAGATCTCTAGACTTTTTTGCTTATAGACCTCACACAAACTGTTTGGGGTTTCTTGCCCGGATAATGAGGTTGAATTTTTCGATGTTCTCTCAGATTGATGATGTACCCTTCTGGTTGCTTAAAGTTGGTGACTCAGTTACCCCCTTGCTCTTTTGCAACCTCTTTTTGTGTGTGTGTTCTGGTTGGTGTGGCTGGAAACCCGAGTCGGACAATGGAGACCAGAGTCAGACATCGGGGACCAGAAACGACCATTCCTTCGAAGGTGTGTGATAGGAGTATAAGTACTGATAAGTACTGTACCGGATTGCTGTTCATACCAATCAGGGGGCGCATTAAGATACGGAGACCTCCCAAGCAACGACCCGCGTGGAAGGTCCGGGACATTGACCAGGTGATCCTCCCAAACCCATTGGGCCAGGGGGTCCCGAAATCGGGTCCCCCAAAAAAAGACACTGGCCACCTCCCAAAGACTTGCGCGTGCTGCAAAACGTGCAGTCAGCGGCCACATCCAGTCTTCGGAAACCGTCGGCCTCCGCCGCCGCTTTGCGTTCGCCAGGACGTCGCTGAGTTCCAGAGGAACTTGCGCGAGCAGGCTGTGAAAGATGCGGCGGAAGTCGACGGAGAAAGGGCGGTAGAGACGACGTGGTGGAGACGAAGAAAGTGTAGTCGACCCGTTTTTTGTCCTGGTTTGGTTTTGCGAATCAGGTCCACTGTGGTGAATAGCATGTTTTTCCAGGTTCAAGTGCAAGTTTTTAGCTCGGAATTCTCAGCAATGGCAAGATGTTACAGTCGTACCAACAGTCGTACCCTGTTGTTTCAGTTCGGGTCGTGTGGCGTCCGTCGTGTCCAGGTGTGCGTTGTGAAGGGTGGACAGGGGATTGGAACCAGGTCACCAGGCGTCACCAGGTCACTTGGTAGGGCGAGTTGAACTTGAAATTGAATGATTGCTGACTTCAGATTCTGTGTATTTAGTATAGGGTGTTTGTTCATTTCTCCTATATACGGATCAATCAATGAATCCCCTTCTCAGGAATAATAGTATAATATACAATAATTATCGTTTTCTCCGGTTCCTTAAGCAAATCCAAGGCAAGGATTGGACATCTCAATTCGTGCAACATTGTTGGCTTTGTCGTCCTGAACACCAACTGTTCATGTGTCATGTGTCAATCCCACTGGAACGGGGCTACAACGTCCATGTTTTGACCCTGCGCGGACACCAGGGTTACACACCAAATTGCTTGGTAAGTCCATCATCACGTTGCGTCTCCAATAGCATGGTTTGTCTCCAATGTGTTTGTTTTCATTGTGTGTCGTTAACCAAGCCAAACTGATGAAACTCAGAACCAAGTTTCCTGGAACGGATCAAGGCGCTTGACACGGCATAAAAAGGCATGCGCCTGTAGTTTGTCAGAGCTGTACTTGTAACTCAGAACTCAGAACAGGTACTGTACTTGTACGTACCTGAATGGTCCATTTACCCTTGCACCTACTGAGTGCCCTTGAAATAAGAGCTGTGCCCCGCCAACATTTGTAGGCACCCACGGGAGCTGATTACTGTGGTCGTTTCGTTCGTTGAAGCCCTTGGGAATGGCAGGAGTGAGTACTCCTCTCCGACTCAATCAGAGAGAGAAGCTTGTAGGGGTCGACGGGTCGACTGATGCATCCAACAGCAGATCTTTGGTGGCAAGGGCAAACCCACCAAATCCCCTCCATGCTCGAGCACATTAACCATCAAAATTATTCCGGTTACCCCATGAATGCATCCAATGCAAGGAACTATAAACACATGCGCGCTTTGCACGTAACTTCTTGACAGACGTGCCTCTTGATGTAATTTGGTGGCCACTGGTTGCGAAGCCATCAGGCCAGGAAGAACATGGAGTTGAAGGACAAGGCGCAGGCCAAGACCTTGAAGGCCGGGCTTTCATGATGTTTCCCTAGGCTTCAAAGACCATTAAAAGCATGACACTAGGGCTGACCTGGTTTTGTAGTCTAGATATTTTGCCAAGCAATTAATGATATTTAATGTGTGGTGAATGGTGAAGACTGTTGCAGTCAAACAAGGGTTGTTGGAGTTCTAGGCGTTTTAATTCTTGGTCCATCCCTAAGACCTCTGTAATGTTTGTTTGATGCACATAGTTTCTGGTTCTTTGTGCTTTTTGACAGTGAGTTCTGTGTTTGGCAACGATGTGTTTGCTTTTGTTTTGGTTGGTTTCGATTGTTCTTTGATAAATCCGGGTCATGCGATACAAGATCCGTTTCTTTTCAGATTGACGGTACATGGTGAGTGGTGATATGATTGTATGCAACATGGCCCGAAAAACTGCAGCTGCATGACCGATGCGCTCTGCTGGCTGCGGTGCAGGGGCTTGTCCCAGGGCTTGTAGGGACTAGCAGGTCGAGCTGCAGTTCTTGCATAGATTATATGGTTTGAGGAGTTGGACTCGGAAAACGACACGGTTTGTGACCATGTACTGCTTGTGTCATCTTGTGTCCAGTTTGTCACATTGAAACCATCTCATGCGACTGTTGATTTAACCCCTCCATTTGGAGATGTTTGACAAATCTCACAAATCTATACAAATCTGTATGAAGAGTTTTGTCTTAAAGGTCAATAGTAGGGGCACCAAGCTTTACTTGCTTTGGATTTGCTTCGCTTACCTGGGTGCTTTGTCGCGAGACAAATTATGTTTTTGCTTGGTCGGAAGTAGATTGCGCAGACTACATGTGATCCGACAATGCCCTGGAATCATAAATGTGTAACAGACCTAAAAACATTGTATGTTGATTATTGTAGATGGAAGATAGGACTGGTGAATGGCTTGTTGATTCAGAGATCCAGCGCTTCACTCGAAAAAGTTGTTTGTAGACATGGCTCGAGCAGCATGGCTGCGGCGTGCAGCATGGCTCGTGACGCGTGAAACACGGCGCTGTAGAAAATTCTCGAGCCCCCCGAATTCTCGAGCCCCACACACCACACAGTTGAATTTCCTGGCAGGCAAGGGGTGCTGAATGGCAAGGGGTGTGTATGAAGCACCAGTCAATAAGTTGTTTCTTTGGGTCAATGGACCTTTGGACAAGCTTGGCATGAAAGCTGTTACTTGGATACAACCCATGACCATTGGTCAAGCTTCCTGTAGGGTCAGACTAAACCAACCAGTGGACGGATGTTGATTTTGAGGTATTCTGAAGCGTTCTTGGAAGGGAGGGAGTTGAGCAGATCAACCAATCTCAGAATGGAATATCCCTTGAAGTAGGTCCATATGCCAGTCCACTCATTGTTGTAGAGGAACAAGGAGGAACTCATTGCTGCAGGAGGCCCACATTCTCGAAGAGCCTTGTACCCGAGTCGAAGCTGTTCAGCTGCAAACCCACCACCAATGTGTGATCTACAAACACTGGGTTTGGGAGCCCAGATAACTACCTTCTGAGCAATGGGTTGACCTTGGGGATTTGACCATGTCTCAGACTGGAGCTTAGCAGGGAATGAGGGTGGCTGCCTTCCCTGCTATAGATATCTCAGGATCCAGCCACCCTTATTCCTTGCAAATCGCACGAGTCATTCGAGCTATACTACGGCGACCCTGCCATTTCACGGCGCAAGCTGGGGACCACTTGCTTCGGTCAAGCGACCGGTCAGGTTTTGTGGTGGGGGAGCCTCGGCTTCTTCTGCAAGAGTGCTAAGTTTCAACCAAGTTAGCAAGCGCTGCAATCCACTTGAAACACACACACACATGGGGCATCATAGGGCCTTCCAGACCCAGGCCGTGCCACACTGCACACACCCACACAACACAGAGTTGATCATCTCTCGGTTCAAAGCAGGAAAGCACAAGTATCCAAACAACCGTTATTGAAAAACAGTTCTTTCGGTTGACTCACCTCCTAGATTCAGAGCGCAACCAAGTTGTGGCCCAGTGAATCAGATATAGCTATAAAGGCTTGGCAAATCATGAGGGAATAATAAAAGTTTGCAGGGTCTAAACAATGATCCGAACAGTCCAAAACCGCAGAAAACACACTCATTTCACAAACGCTTCCGGACAACCCCCCAAAAAATACTACAAATTCCGCTGAGGGAGCTACGCAGAGCCCAACAAAAAAGCTCCAGAGATAGAAGACGAATGCCACTACGGCACTGTGCCAGCTAGCTGGGTTGCTTTAATCCATCGACTCAGGCATGCTTGTAAGACGATCGTTTGATGTGAATCACTCCCGTCATGATGCGTCCCTGCATGTGTTCTTTCTCTGTGCCGGGCAGATAAGCGGATGATCTCTATGGCCTACCAACTACGTTTGGTCTTTGCAGCCGCAGATCGATTTTGTCAGGACATGGAGGCCCGTGTTGAACAAAACTTGGAGACCTACATCGATGGCCAGGCATGCGCTGTGGTATGTTGGCACCTTCCTCCAAGTTCATGCGTGCTGTCGCCAGTCACGGTGTGCGAATGTCCAGGTCTCTTCTTTGTACACCTTAGCAACACATCAAAATTTCAGTTTTTGGCGTAGTTCGGTAAGCTGGATGTTGTTTCAGATCGAATTTCCCTGCGTGACGCAGTGCCATGTCCTACCAGCCCTGGTAACTTTGAGCGGCATGGCTTTCTTAGACCTGGAACAACAAAGTGATGTGGTTTCTGTTTTTCAATCCAACGTCTTCGTGTTGCAAACACCAAGAGTTCAATCGCACTCAGTTGTAGGATGTTGTAGGCATCGTTAAATCCATACCTTTGTCCACTTGGCAATCCACCGCACCAAAACCAGTGGGATTTCTGAACTCACCAAACGCAACAACTAGTGATTGGCCACAGTTTTTGTTTTCTGGCACTTTGAAGTCAGCCTTTTCGGCCGAATGTGGAACACCCACAACACTGTGGAGAACGTCTAAACCTTTCGGTAATCGATCTGAATCGATCCTCCTCTCGCAATCGGTTTCAGCGAGACAGAACATGCTTTGACATTCGGATCTTAAGCGCTTCGCGGCGCTTCGGCTCGAGGCGGTGATGCGGGGTTTGACGGACCTGAAGAAGCTGACCTCGGCGCAGAAGCCGACGACTCGGATGTTGGTGGCTGCTGGAGATGCATGATATTTTATGATGATCATGATGATTCATGTTATTATTTCATGCTTAGTCAATTTTTTTGCAAGGAAACTGAGCGAGTCGGAAACTGGTTTGCACCTTTGTCATCCAGAGTCGGTTTGTTCCACCCGTTTTCGTCCGTCACATGTGTTTCATGCGTCGTGTTGGCCCAAATGAACCTGTGAATCGGAACCCAAGGGATGATTCATCCATCCCACTATATATACCAGGGGCCCGTAACCAAACCATGACAAATAAAGGTTTTCACCATATGCAAAGACCATGTGTTTTTCCAAAGGAACACCAGGTTTTGGATGGTTTGCGGGGCCCCCAGAGTGAACCGGTGATGACCGCGTGATCGACGCGAACTCCAGGGCCCTTGACATCGACACAGAGAACCATGACAAGTTGTTCTTCTCTGAACCCGAATTCAACTAGCTGGACAAATGAGACATGGCCCGAACCAAAAACAGGTACCAACTGTAGTTTGGTTTCCCATTCTCCCGGGGTACTTTGAGACTTCAGGCACCCTCCAGCTGCTGGAAAGAAGGTAGGGACAGACTTTCTGGCAGGCAACAAAAGCACGGAGGTTAGTGGTCCAACGAGCGGATTTTGCCTGGCCTTTCCAGATTGATCCATTGATAAGACTGATCAAACCACTGGGAGCAAACCAGACTGGCGACCTGCCACTAGCTTGATCGCCCAAGCAGGTCAGGTCTTGCTGGTCTCTTTTTGACCCCGCTTAGTGGAGAGGCGCAGGGTTTGGTTCACGCAGGATTGTTGATAATTATGTTCTTTGGGGGCATTGGTTTCCCACGGTTTCCCCACTCAAAAAAGCAGATTAAACATGTGGGAAAAGGGTTCTATGTTTGAAGGAAGCTGAGGGAGTCAGAAGGCACCTTTGTCATCCAGTTGACTGTTGCCTCACCTAAACCTGTAAGCCAGTCGATCGCAGCGTTGGATCGCAAGATACAGACTAGCTTGCCAGTTTCATATAAGGTTCATAGCGTTTGAAACTCTGTTATGGACCTTATATCTAGCTAGAATAGAATATATAGCTCTATAGAGCTTGAAACGAGCTCTCTCTATATATATATATATCGTATGATATCGTCATGTTTTTGTTTCGCCGGCCATTCTTTCACCAAGATGTGACCTCATCAGGTGAAAAATCATGTCGCCACACCACGTGAAAGATCGGTGAGGTTGGTTGGCGTCGTTGAAAAGCCGTTGCGTTGGCGTCTCAGAACGCACACCCTGGAAGGGAGTGGCGTTTTTGTCAAGCTCTTTTTGGTACCGGGATTAGGGGTATTGGTTCCCCCAACTTTGTTCATCCAACAGGTGTTAAAAGGGTCCAACGCATCCCAAAACGAATCCGAAAACGCCGACGTCGAGGTCGAAGTTCATGGACACTGCCATCGCATCGATCTGAGTCGCTGCAGTGAGATGGGCGAGTCGGTGCGGTAGAGGATGATAGAAGACTCCTCTCATCCTGAATGGTCATCACTCACATGAACACTTAGGAAAGTTCCAAAAAGCACCTGAATTGATGCAAAAGCATAAGGCGAAAACAACTCATATAGACGACACATAGGCTTCTACATTTCTACTTCGCAATGAGGAACAAACAACTTCACACTGTTTGTCTTGATTCATTTTTTTTGTCCAAATGAGTTGACTCGGTCCGAAAGGTGATTCAACGGTTTTCAGAACAACAGCATCCAGTCATAGAGTTTTAGTTTTATTGGAAGAATCAAGTAAAAAGACGAGTTTTGTTCTGTGTTGGTCACCAGGATATTGAAAGAAGAACAAGCAACCAAAGCCCAGATCTTTGAAGCCGGCGTGATGTAAGGCCCTCAAATCATAGCTCTACTTCCTCCAAAAAGGCCGGGCATGGCCAGTTCATTGTTCTCCCACCTCAGAGTTCCGCCTTTTTGTGGGATAGGAGACACTGTGATGTTCCTATTTTCTGAGGGGTCCAGAAGGAGGATCTCCATTTATACCACTTGGAATACTTGACTTGTCATGGCTCGGTGTTCCCAACAAAGCTCTGAAGGTGTAACCCTGCATCATGTGCCCCCACTTTCCATGCACGCAAACCCACCAATGACTATAGGCTGACGGCTAGCTTGAATGCTTGAATGTGCTTCTGGAGCCCAGAAATATATCATTCAAAAGAAGAAGTTTGCTTTCTGAATAAAAGGGGTGGCTTGGAGAGAGCTAGAGCGGAGCTAGAGCGGAAGAGCGATCACGTTGTTTAAGATGCGGACCACAGAGTAGATGTTCATCGACAGTCCTTCATGTCATATCTGATCCCCTAGCCTATAGAGCTTGAAATACCTCGGTTTGGGTCCCGGTGTTTTTGGGCATAGGCTTGGAAGCTCCAAGTACCTTTTGAAACCCACTTGATTTTCTCACCAAGTAGTTGGAGCCTTCCCACGGGAAAGTTCAGTATCGTTCAGGGCCTTTTTTTCATAAACGTCAGTCCCCTCTTTTGCTCGGATCGGACGCCCTGCCCGGACCGGCGATCAAGCCCGGACCGAACGTGCGGAAGTGAAAAGACGGAGCAACAAATGGAAAAACCATCGATCGCTTGGGACACCTGGCCACCCCCGAACAAACTCCGTGAAGGTAGGCCAGGTATGGGCACGGGTTGTGCCAAACCTGAGGATATGGGACAGGACCCTAGGGATGTTTACCTGTTTGGTCCTAGCAATACTTCTAGGTCCATGCTCTCCGAATGGTGCCTTCGGTGAGGATAGGGTCCGTTTTGGGGGAACGTGCGACCTGAGTGATCTAGCTGTGGGCAAGTCAACACCTTGTTAGGTATCAACGTTGAGCATGCATAAACATGCCTTATCATGGCTTCAACATGCTAGCCGATGGATGAGATACAATATGATCATATAAAACAATGATATGTATATACATAATATCAACACTCCAGAAACCTCACATAGACCCTGACAAGGGCCCTTTGGAAGATTATGTTCCTCTACCAACGAATGGTTTTCAGGGTCCATTTTTTGCTGGGAGTGAAGATGTGTATATATATATATATGTCTATAGTTATATGTTCCTTGAGATGAGATGAGAG